GCCCAACCTTCCTTCTGAGGAGTGGCTAGTGGGTTTGAACCGCCAGCCTTCTGGTTAGCAGTCAAATGCCTTAGGCACTATGCTACCAGAGCTCCCAATCTCCAAGTAGATCTCAATATCTACTCAAGAAGAGTGCCTGTGTCTTATAAGTCCTTGAATCTTCATTTGCATAGAGTATATGCAATAGAAAGAAAGAAGGAAGAGCTGTAGGAAGGAAGAGAGAAGGAGAGAAAAAGGAGAGAATGGGGGAAAGAGAGGAAGATTCCAGTCGCCATGTCACTCCTGATCTAGAAACCTTTGGTGACTCAGACTTTTCCTGATCTGACATTTGCAGCCTCTTCAACCTTAGCTCCTGTATCTTCCACTTCTCCTTTCCTTTCTCTATACTCTATTTCAAGTCTGTTCCCAGACAACCCAGGTCTTTTCACTTCTGTGGCTTTGCTTCCTTTCCTAGCAAGCCCTTCACTGTTGCCCTGTGGCACCCTGGCCCATTTTCACCCCCACCACTCCCACCTCTGTCTTTTTCTAGTCATCCTTCAAGGCGCAACACAATGTTAACCACTCTAGGCAGCCTTCATCTTCCCACCGGGCAGATCTAGCTGCTCTTTTTCTTTCATTCCCATGGCACCTTGACTTGTGTGTTTTACAGAGTATTTCTCAAACTTTAATGTGACAGGAATCACCTGGGGATCTTGTTAAAATTCAGAGTCTGATTCAGTAGCTCTGAAATAAACCCAAAGAGTCTACACTTCTAATAAGTTCCCAGGCGATGCTGCAGATCCCAGGGCCATATTATAGCACTCACTGCAGTGTATTATGATTATTTATTTATGTCTCTTTCTAGCTCTGAGCTGTTACTCACTACCTAGAAGAATGCCTAGTGTATAGCAGGTACTTTGCATGCTGACCACAGGAAAGGAACAAGAAGTAGAGAACACTGATTTGGTTCTGGTGTCATTAAGCTACATGGTCTCCCCTCTTGGGAGTGGTTGTCATGGTTGCTGGGAGGAGCAGACTAAGGAGTGCAAGGGCAGGTAGATGATGATCAAGGAAAGCCCTACTGCAAATGTAAACCTCAGGGTGTTGTTGAGGAAGGAAGGAGGCTGGAATCTTAACAGCCTCCACCATGCATCTCTTGTATTTTGCTTAATTTTATTTAGTGTTCATCTTCCCATATTAGGATATAATCTCCACAAGGGTAGGGTATTTGTCCATTTTGTTCATAACATTCCCTAGTACCTAAACCAGGACCTGGCACACAGTTGGCCTTCAATAAATATTTGTTACATAAACAATTGAGTGAAAATTTAATTCTTTTTTTTTTTTTTTTTCATTTCTCCCTTCCTTCACACAAACCTAATAACCAGACAAAATCTGAGTAAACACATGCCAAAGCAGACAAGGCATCATCAAGGAAAAGAAAGTGCATAAACAGCAGAGTAAGCTTGAAAAATAATCGGATTGAAAAAATCATTAAGAATGGGCTTGCATGCCTCCAACTGACTCAAACAAGTAGCAAGACACACACTGATCCAGCTCCCCCAGAGACCTTCTTAATAACATCACAGTGCTGGGCCAGTGTTCCAGACATAGCTGTGCAGTGCAGCTGGAGAAAAGACCCACGGTAAAGGCAATGAGCTGAGTATTCCCAATGCACAGGACTGATCTCGCTTGGCTGTTAAGAGATGCAGCTGAAACTGCTCAGTAAACCACCTCCCAGGGACGAGGCCTTTCACACCCAGTAGAAGCCAAGAGATCACGTGTTTTATGAAATAATTATAAAAGGCTAATAGTGATACTGCTAGATAATCAAATATTTATATAATAATAATAATGTAATATTACTTATATTACAATAAAATAGCTTACAAAAATAACAGTTCTTAATATTATATATTATATATAGGAGCTCTGGTAGCGTAGTGCCTAAGGCACTTGACTGCTAACCAGAAGGCTGGCAGTTCAAACCCACCAGCCACTCCACGGGAGGAAGATGAGACAATCTACTTCTATACAGATTCACAGACTTGGAAACCCTGTGGGGGTTGCTATGAGTCAGAATCAACTCAGTGGCGGTGGGTTTTAGTGAGTAGTTGAAAGGCATTCCATCTTCAGATACTTCTTTTTACTAGCTGTTTATACATTTCTCTCCCCTACCACCCACACCCCCAAGGGTTTAGTTAGCAAAACCACATACCTGTGGGAGAGTGGTTTCTATGCACATAGGCTGAAGGGTAGGGAGCCTGCCGGTGTCCCCGGAGGCCAGGATAATGCTCACAGCCATGGTGGGAGTGGGGAGCAGGCAGAGACAAGGGAGTCACATACTGGTAATTGGCATTTCCTGCTGTGCACACTCCATCTGGATTGGAAAAGATCCAGCCCTCCACTAGAATAGAAATGAGAAAGACACAGAGACTTCCTATGAACTGCCACACCAGTAGTCAGGATCCTAGCTATTTTGCACGGCTATGTTTCTATTCAAATGAGACCAAATGGCTGCCCATGTGGGAAGATCCATCCTCAACACCTGCTGCCCATTAGCAAGTAAACTGACTTCTCTGGAGATGCATGACAGGTCCTGTTAGACTTTAGAAAGCCTCTTAAAGAACACTAGAATCATAAGCTATATAAAATACAATTGCAAATCAGAAGTTAACAGAAATGCAAAAGTTAAGTTGTTTCTGACAATTCAATTAAAATGGCTTTTGCAGCTCTCCAGGACTCCCTCTACCATACTGGGATGTGAAGAAGCAGGGCACCTGGTAAGGAATACCCAGCATCCCTGAACAATTCCAGGTTTACAAGCCCAGCACTCCCTAGAGTTTTCCAGTCAACAAATGCAGACTTTACCTCACATGGGAGGCCACAGCCTGCCTGAGGCATTACATTGCTGCCCAACTCCAAAAGTTGTTGTTGTTGTTGTTGTTGTTACGTGCAGTCGACTCATAGCAAGCCCTCCTTGGGTTTCCAAGGTGGTATCACTACAGAAGTAAATTGCCCAACCTTCCTTCTGACTCCAAAAGTAGCAAATAGTAAGAACAAGAGCCACCCAGAACAGAGATGCAAGAATGGATGATATAAATGTAGGAGATATGCCCAGAATGCACTTTGGAGAGCTCCTAAACTTACTGACATGATAACTAAACCAAACCAAAACTCTGATACCATGGAGTCAATATCAACTCATAGCAACCCTATAGCACAGAGTAGAACTGCCCTACAGGGTTTCCAAGGCCATAATCGAAGCAGACTGCCACATCTTTCTCCCATGGAGTAGCTGATTCGTTCCAACTGCTGAACTTTTGGTTGGCAGCCAAGTACTTAACCACTGCATCACCAGGGCTCCTCGACATGATAACCAGAGTCTGAAAAACTCATCATTTCCATTCTTAACTCCTGGCTAAATGTTTTAGTCCCACCTAGGAACCCTAGCCTTTTCTGGGAATTCTTGAGAGGGCCAAAATACCCAGTTGGGTCTTGATAGAGGATTTGGAGTAGACCCTAAGCAGTCAAGACAGTCAAGAGGCTGAGTATGGAGTGAGGTCACTCCTAAAATTGTCACCCATCTCCCACCCACTTTTCACCCAACTCACAGTGAGAATAGGTCACATGCTTGCTCTCAGAGATAGCCTCCGGAACATCTTTTAGGTGATTTCTGAAAGAATAATGAAAGTGTGTCAGTATTATCCATTTTATTAGATGAGTCCTGCATAAAGCATACTCAAAACTCCCTTTGGAGAGCAATATATTTTTTAGAATAAGAAAACCAAATATCTTTTTTCATAAAGTTGCTCTCTTTCCCCCATTCTCCTTCCCCTAGGGTACTGTATCTATACATGTGTCTGTGCTTTGAACCTAACCATATTTATATTTGTTCTTATTAGCAGCCATCAAGTTGGTCCCCAAGTCATGGCAACCCCATGCACAACTGGTTCAGACCACTGTGATCCACAGTATTTTCACTGGCTGATTGTCAGAAGGAGATAACCAAGACTTTCTTCCTAGTCCATCTCAGTCTGGAAACTCTACTGAAACCTGTTCTGCATTATAGCAACACACAAGCCTCCAGGGACATATGGGTGGTGGCCACACATGAGGTGCATTCAACAGGAATTAAAACCAAGTCTCTCACATGGCAGGTGAGAATTCTACCACTGAACCACCATTGCTTCTGTGTATGTTAGTAAGTTACCCCTCTTTCATTTGATCTTATGATTTGTGGTTATTGTTCCTATCTGACAAGATTCAAGATAATAATAACAATAGCTAAGCCAGCCTTCCAGTTACCAGTCAAATGCCTTAGGCACTACGCCACCAGAGCTCCCGGCATTTTCAAAGGACTTCAGGGCACAATTCCATATATGGTATACTAGACCCACAAACAACTCAGTGAGGGAAATATTATTACATTTATTTTGCAGGTTAGGAAAGTAACTGATTTATGCAAAATTAAATAGCTAGGAATTGGCGAAGGTAAAACTCAAAGTCAGGACCTCTTTCACAAAGTCCTAAATTTTTTATTATACTATACTACTATCCCACCACTTGTCTGTCAGTTTGTTGTACTGTGGTGGCTTGTGTGTCGCTGTGAGGCTGGAGGCTATGTTATTGGTATTTCAAATGCCAGCAGGGTCACACATAGTGGACAGGTTTCAGCAGAGCTTCCAGACTAAGATAGACTTGGAAGAAGGAAGGGACCATCCACATATCAAAGGATTGGCCAGTGAAAACCTTATGAATAGCAGTGAATATTACTGGAAAACTTGATGAATAGCCATGAAACATTGTCTGATATAGTGCCAGAAGATAAGCCCTTCAGATTGGAAGGCACTAAAAATATGACTAGGGAAGAGCTGCCTCCTCAGAGTAGAGCCAACCTTACTGATGTGGATGGAGTAAAGCTTTCAGGACCCCCATTTGCCGATGTGGCATGACTCAAAATGGGAATAAACAGTTGCAAACATCTATTAATAATCAGAACATGGAATGTACAAAATATGAATCTAGGAAAATTGGAAGTTGTCAAAAATGAAATGGATAAAGATCAATATCCTAGGCATTAGTGAGCTGAAATGGACTGGTCTGGGACATTTTTCATTAGGCGATCATATGATCTCCTATGCCGGAAATGATAAACTGAAGAGGAATGGCGTGGCATTCATCATTACAAAGAATGTTTCAGGATCCTGAAATATAGTGCTGTTAGTGATTGGATAATATCCACATGCCTACAAGGAAGACCAGTTAATACTACTATGATTCAAATTTACACACCAACCACCAAAGGCAAAGGCAGGGAAAGTGAAGATTTTTACCAATTTCCACAGTCTGAAATTGACCAAACATCAAATCAAGATGTATTGACTATCACTGGTGATTGAAATGCAAAAGTTGGAAACAGAGAAGAATAACTGGTCATTAGAAAATATGGCCCTGATGATAGAAATAACACTGGAGATCGCATGATAGAATTTTACAGGCCAACAACTTACTCATTGCAAACACCTTTTTCAACAACACAAATGACAGCTATACATGTGGACTTCACCAGATGGAGTACACAGGAATCAGTTGACTATATCTGTGGTAAGCAGCAATGGAGAAGATCAATATCTTCAGCCAAAATAAGGCCAGGAGCTGACTATGGAATAGATCATCAACTGCTTATATGCAAGTTCAAGTTGAAGCTGAAGACAATTAAAAGAATCCACAAGAGCCAAAATATGACCTTGATTATATCCCTCCTAAATTTAGAGACCATTTAAAGAATAGATTTGATGCATTGAACATCAAAGACCAAAAACCAGAGGAATTGTGGGATGACATCAAGAACATCATCCATGAAGAAAGCAAAAGGTCATTAAAAAGATGGGAAAGGAAGAAAAGACTAAAGTGGATATCAGAAGAGACTCTGAAACTTGCCCTTGAATGGAGAGTAACTAAAGCAAAAGGAAGAAATGACAAAATAAAAGAGTTGAACAGAAGATTTCAAAGAGCAGCTTGAGAAGACAAAGGCAATTATAATGAAATGTGCAAAGAACTAGAGTTAGACAACCAAAAGGGAAGAACACTCTCAGCATTTCTCAAGCTGAAAGAACTGAAGAAAAACTTAAAGCCTTGAGTTGCAATACTGAAAGATTCTACAGGCAAAATATTGAATGATGTAGGAAACATCAAAAGAAGATAGAAGGAATACACAGAGTCAGTGTACCAAAAAGAATTGGTCAGTGTTCATCCATTACAGGAGGTGACATATGATCAAGAACCAATGGTATTGAAGGAAGAAGTTGAAGCCACACTGAAGGAATTGGCAAAGAACAAGACTCCAAGAATTGATGGAATACCAATTGAAATGTTTCAACAAATGGATGCCGAGCTGGAGACACTCATTCATCTATACTAAGAAATTTGGAAGACAGCTACCTGGCCAACTGACTGGAAGAGATCCATATTTGTACCCATTCCAAAGAAAGGTGATCCCACAGAATGTGGAAACTATCGAACAATATCATTAATATCACATGCAAGTAAAATCTTACTGAAGATAACTCAAAAACAGTTGCAACAGTATATTGACAGAGAACTCCCAGAACTGCAAGCTGGATTCAGAAGAGGACATGGAACAAGGGATATCATTGCTGATGTCAGATGGATCTTGGCTGAAAGCAAAGAATACCAGAAAGATGTTTACTTGTGTTTTATTGACTATGCAAAAGTATTCTGTTGTGTGGATCATAACAATTTATGGATAACATTGAGAAGAATGGGAATTCCAGAAAATTGATTGTGCTCATGAGGAACCTGTACGTAGACAAGGAGGCTGTCATTCAAACAGACAAGGGGATACTGCATGGTTTAAAATCAGGAAGGGAGTGGGTCAGAGTTGTATCTTTTCACCATACTTATTCAATCTGTATGCTGAGCAAATAATCTGAGAAGTTGGACTACATGAAGAAGAGCATGGCATCAGGACTGGAGGAAGATTCATTAACAACTCATTAATGATAAGCAGATGACACATTTTTGCTTGTTTAAAATGAGGATGACTTACTGACTTACTGATACAGATTAAAGACATCAGTCTGCAGTATGGATTACATCTCAATATAAAGAAAACGAAAATCCTCACAACTAGCCCAATTAGCAGTATTGCAATAAATGGAGAACAGATCGAAATTATTAAAGATTTCATTTGGTTCCACAATCAACACCAATGGAAGCAGCAGTCAAGACATCAGAAGATGTATTGCATTGGACCAATCTGCTGCAAAAGACCTCTTTAAAGTGCTGAAGAGCAAAGTTGTCTCCTTGAGGACTAGGTGTGCCTAACCCAGGCCATGGTATTTTCACTTGCCTCATATGCATTTGAGAGCTGGACAATGAATAAGGAAGACTGAAGAAGAGTTGATGCTTTTGAGTTGTGATGTTGGCAAAGAATGCTGAAAGTACCATGGACTGCTAAAAGAACTAACATCCATCCTGCCAGAAGTGCAGCTGGAATGCTCCTTGGAAGCAAGAATGGCCAGACTTCATATCACCTACTTTGGTCATGTTGTCAGAAGGGACCAGTCCCTGGAGAAGGCTATCATGCTTGGTAAAGTGGAGAGTCAGTGAAGAAGGGAAAAGCCCTCAACAAGATGAATTGACGCAGTGACTGCAACAATGGGCTCAGGTATAGCAAGGATTGTAAGGCTCACACAAGACCAGACAGTGTTCCGTTCTGTTGTACATAGGGTTGCTATGAGTTGGAGCCAACTCAGTGGCACATAACAACAACAACATATACTATTATTTAGAATCTAGATTCCGTCATCTCACAGGTCTGCTTTCCTTTTAGCCTTCTGTTATATATAAAATTTATAAGTATGTCTTCTCTATCATCAAAGTTTATTCAAATATTGAATAAACACAGGACAGATCTGTGTGACACATCATTATAAGCATTTGTCCATCAATCCAGAGCCTTTTCAGAGCCTTTAAGATGAGAAGGAAAGACTAGATAGTTATCAGAGTTATTGAAAACATTTGAAACTCAGGCAATAAAATCTGAACACCTCAAGAAATTCATATTTATATTCTAGGACTTGTTGAAGAAAAGCCAATGATTAGCACCATAATTATTTAATTTTTTTCTCGAACAGAAAGGAAAGATAGATAGAGAGCTGGGGAGTCACTGGCCTAAAGTCATGTTAGTAGAACCATCATTCACACCCCCAGCAATCTCTGATTTCTCTTCTTCTCTCAGGGAAAATAGGAACTTCTCACCATTACTTACCTCTTCTAAACCAAAGGTAGTTAGAAAAGGAAGGGG